CGCTAAAGAAACAGGAGAAGAACTGGGACATCTCTTTATGTATCTGTAATATCTTGCACTGTTCTTAATTCGCAATCGAAAATGATTAACACTCTTCCGGAGGACTCGCACATAATGGGCAACCGGTGGCGACTATAAATAGCCTAAAATGCGCACACACAAACTAATTTCTATTGGACGAGTATACAGCTTTCAAACCTATATTGTGGCGGCATGGCCGAGTGCTTAACGCATTGGACTTGTAATTTAAGGATAGCTAGCCACATGAGATCAAACCCCGTAAGTGGCAAGTCGTTGTTTCCCTGGGCAAGTAACTTTACACTCATTGCTCAGCACTGATTGGTTCGAAAGTGTGTCTCATAGTAAATTCTGTTCAAACTACACCTATATTGGACGAGGCGCTAGTCGAATCATGTAAGTTTTGCAGTTGTGTATTCGTCCAAGAGAATCAGTATTGTTCTAAACAATGTTTAATGGCCTTTGTATTTCACATGTTTGACATTTGGCGTTGTTACTTCAAGTACAGTAAACAATTTATATGAATATTTTGACCCTAAATATGAACATGAGGATTAATGGAATACGATATGCATTTGATATTTTGGACCCGAGGCTACGAGTATATGGGGTACGATATGCATTTGAATTTATGGAACAATGCTAAATTGATGATTGGATCTAATAATGATTTTTATTGGAACATCACATGCTGGAATTTCATCGGTTAGTTGTTATAAGGTGTGAAATATAAAGTATCGTTGATGAAATATAACATAAATGTTTTACAAGCCGGGTTGATTGCAGGTGTTGTTCTTTGATCTTTTGCTCATCGATATTAAATAACATTTTATTTGATTAGTTTTATTTTGCTTCCTAGAAAGGTAAAAATGAACATTTTTATATATGAAAAAAATCCATCAATACATTACTGTTGAATACGTGTATCTTTTTGTATTTTGTAGCTACTGGTTTTCAAGGATTTGCGTACATGTAATCCTAAGATTTGTCTATGTGTCAGTATTGTAAAAGATCATTTTTCAATAAATATGTTTGCTGAATTCGAGTCAGAGTTAGCATAGTGCTGTATGATCTTACTATATGTGATCTTATTTAGTCTCTTCTTCTAAAAATACACTAAATCCTAAAAGCTTTTTGTAAAGTCGGTGACAATCATAAATAAACGTATATTAGGCCACACCAAATAGTTTTCTTGTTAGTTGGATGCAGAGCACCTGTTTTGAAGAAAATGAAACAGAAATATGTAGATCTATTTATATACAATGTATATTTCTTTTGATCGACGACACCTTGAAAAATCTCCAGGCAGAAACAAATGAAATAAGGTATGGAGCAGATTAACTTAAAAATTCTTCTGGAATCTTCCAAACTGTCAAAAAATTTGATTGACATGTTGTATATTATCAACTAAAACTTGAAAATTCCCCTTAATGATTTCCCCTAACTGGCTCAACTTTTAGAAAAAATGGCTCTCCATATAAAAATGTATATTACCATCTTAATAAAAATGATTGTTGTACATTTTATAAATGCTTTCAATTTCCCTAATTTTCATAATTATGTATAGTATACAAACATTTCCGCGCAAAAATGAAAAGGTAAAATAAATCATTATTTATCAATGTTTATACACGGCTTTATTACATGATTGAAGGGACACAGGTCTATGTCATTCCATGTGATCTTAAAATATTCTTCTTGAAAGAACATGTTTATATAATGTAGATCTATAATATTTATATCATTATGATTGTATTGACGAACTTCAATGAATTTGACCATTATGTAAGCATCATAGTAAAATGTGTATGTAAGGACTTAGAGATTGTGTATATACCCTCTGAGGATTTGGCTATTCTGTTTTAGAACATATATCATATATAATATTACAATGCATAAAGCTTTGATATCAATTTTTAGATTTGAGTGAATTACCATTACTTTTATTCGGGATTGCTTCAAATTGTTTTTAACTGCTGGCGGCAACAGATTCTACCAATGCAGCCAGTGCAGTCTTTGATCTGCTGTTTGTTGTTGGCTGTGTAGTCAGTGAATATTTAAATTTTCCCTATAAATGATGAATGGTTTAGTCCAGATTGAAAGTTGGACAATTCCATTTAAGATATATAGCTTGGTTAGGGTTAAGTAAAACATAATAGATTCCTCTATCTTGTTCAAGGGACTCTACTGAGGTTTAAAAGCCTAAAAACATAACATTTGAATTTCTTACATAAATGAGCTGGGGATCTTTAAACAGAAATATATGCAAAGATAGTTAAGAAATATACTTTGAAATAAATTAAATCGTATTTTTATGCTTTTCTTGGCCCGATTTGAGTGAAAAGTGTTTAAACGCTTTTCATTGTAGGGCATTTTTTTACAATTTGAATATTTATTTCTGGAGAAAACAAAGTGTGCGGATGATCTGAAATTTTGCACAAAGATTCGTGATCTAAACCTACATCAAATGGTTCATTTATCTGGAAAAAAATTTTGAGTCCCATCATGTCAAAAATCCTCAGTGGAGTCCCTTTAAAACTGCAAATTTTCATAATTGAAATGGAATGGGGGTCCAACATTGACTAAAACTAAGATCTAAGGTGTCGTGTTTTTTTTTCATTCGCTCTTAACATTTTTTTAATTATTTTTGCTCGCTCGCTCCAAGTTTTTCTGAAAAAAAAATTCCGTGGAACAAGAAATCAATTTGTTGATTTGGTGTGGCCTTACTAAAAATATAAGACACCAAACATAAAATTAATGAAAACTATTTTAATAAACTCTACATTCGGAAACTGGCTTAGACTTTAATTAAAATAATGTTTTAATAAACCTGGAATTAATGAACGATCGAAATCACGATATGTCTCGTCAAAGTAATGTTATCATCACACTTTATTCAGTTAAACACTGATGTTTAGACAAACAAAAATAATTGTTTTAAAAATAAATTTTTAACAATCTCATGGTCATACATGCATTTTATTTTTTATTTCGAAGCTACTGCCATATAGGTGTGGCATATATTTGGGATATGACACGAACGTAAACGTAACGTAATAGATACGTTATACAAGCATATAACGTAAAGTCATGCTTAACTTTTAGTGTTACAGTTTAATTTCCCTCATGTATGTTCAATTCATGTTCATTGTTTTGACAAAATTTTCTCCGTCGTGTTAAACACAATTTTTTTCTTTGTTGTACATTTAAAATGAATTCCTGAATATACATTTATGAATAATGGAAAACTATTCCACATACTTAAAGCAGAATGAATCTGATTTGAACAATTATTTGAACATTTTATGAGGATGAAATAATCTTCTTTATTGCCCATTCGGACATATAGAGAATACTTTGAGATAGGGAAAGTGAGAAATAAAAAAAATGATTGGATTAAAGTAGCAGTTATCCCTTCCGGTATAAATTCTATGTATTTTTCATTTGTGAAGAAGAACCATTTTCCTGAGGTAACCTTACCCGGGGTGGAACCCCATATGTATCTCGAAAATGAGCATCGGTAAAAAGTATATATGTGAATTTCCGCTGCTCCAGATGTGAAGCATAACACCAGATGTGACGGAGAAAATAGGTAAATCGCAGGGTAAGTTTTCAACTTTTTAAACAGTTATATAAAATTCAATCTTTTTTAAAGAAAATCGTCATGTGATTCTATCCTCCTGACTCTCCTCTATATTACACATTTTTGTTTTGGATTTCTATGCAGTCTTCATCGAGATAAGAAAGTGAGCGATAGTGGAACATTCGACCGATGCGCAGGAGAATAGTTATATCACTGAAAGAATGGTCGATTTTAGTTTCAGAAATACAGAAAATATCAACAAGATTTTGATCAAAAATGTGTCTAATTTCCTGAAATTTATATCTAATACTATTAATATCAAGATGACCAATTATCGGTCTTTTTCTATTTAAGTTTTTAAGTTTTTTAACATCATCAAAAATGTCATACAGGTGTTCACTATCACAGGCACTATTATTAAGTATATCACTGTTTTCTAAAATATCTTCCGTTGTTTCGTCATGAAAATCATTCAGAGAATCTATAGTTTCCTGGTTTGGTGGTAACTCACTATTTAGATTTTCACGTGTGGTGTTCATAACTGAATTATTATTAGAAAAAGTGTGGTCTTCCCAATTTTCCTCCTCATCGTTCGAGGGGGTAAAACTGTCATTTATTTGTCTATAGTCATATGACTCAAGTGTAGATGAAAGATCGGAGGTACATGTAGGATGTGTAGTTGATTTCTTAGATAATTCTAATAATTCAGGCATAAGTGGCACTTTAAGGCATGGAGTACATATATAAGGATCCGGGTTAGTTTGCAATAATACATATTCTTTTGGGGATATATCAGCACATTTTATATGTAGCCATTTATTACAAGTCTCACAGAGGACTGCACGGTGTGTTTTGGCAACAGCTCGTGAGCACAGCCCACATGGGTGTTATGTCGGTCCAGGATTTGTGGCAATATCTCACAATAGAAGGGACAGTCTGTAGAACCCTCTGAAGTGTATATAGCGTAGATTTCGTCTCATACGTATACAGTGAAAATATAATGTTGACTGTATTGATATTTCATTTCCACTCGTGGGGATCTCTTACCATCTGGTTTGAAATAGTAGCTGGGTTTGTAACATAAACGGGAAGTAAATGATTGCTAGCCATCACTCTAGAAGTAGGCCCAGTTTTAAGAAGTTGGTGGTACATGTATCTTAAATTAGCAGGACCGGAAAGCACTCGATATATCTATTTTCCTAAATTCTCGTAATAATAATCAATAAATATTTATTAAAATGACTTGACTAACAGATTTTGATATAATAAATCTATTGGTAACACTTTCAAACCGATAAAATAAAGTTTTCATATGTTTTTATGAGAAATTTGAGTGCTTTCCGGTATTTCGGTGCTATCCGATGCTTTCCGGTTTTTCTATGCACCGTATCATGAATGAAAATTATTACGACACCGAAAATAAAAAAAGCGTCTGCACAGCTAAATTTGTTTGAAAACATAGCCAATTTGTTTGAAAACACTTAAAAAGGTCAGTTAAATTAAGTGTGTTTATAAGGATTTGCCAAACATGACCAATGGTATACTGGCACACCTGAGCACTAAGTGCTCTAAATGATACAGTCGGCTGTCAATCAATCGCAACTACTCGGCCCTTTCCGTCAGTCTTCGGATAAGGACCTCGAACACAATATAGTAATATGAAATTAGGCAAGGCCTATGAACGGGGAAGTCGTTAAAAATTCCTTTCATTCTTTCCGTTTTAAAGGTGTTATTCGGTATTACATGCACCGCTTCCGTTTTCACTCGGAACACTCGACGATTATCATTTATCCGAAAAGTTGAGATTTGTTCCGTTATCGGAATACCCCGCCTATTATCATTGAGTTACATTGTAAATGGCGGTGCCCGACTAGAACTGACACTGAAAAAATCATTGATAGGTATAGAATTCTATATATTTTTTAATTGTTTTTTATTTGATTTTCTTTTACATTTACACGTGTAGTCTATAGCCGGGCAAGCCAAAGCCCGGACCCGCTTCGCGGGCCCGGTCTTTGACTTCCCCGTATGAATACACAGAACGGGTGCGGTATTCGGTCTAACCTACGCTAAGAAACTAAACATGTAAACAAATAGTAATTTAATGCTGGGAGTTGTTGACACGTTTATTTCCACTATATGTAGTAAAAGTCCACCTAAAATAGATATATTTTGTACTATAAATGAAGAAAAACAAAAACCAAAAAAATAGCCAAGTGTTGGTGGCACACGTTTTCAAACAATTTATCATAAAGTAGATTCTATATACATAAAGGCATGACAAAATAGACGAATAGTGACTTAAATGAGTTCTATTCAGCCAGTGTTTCTGCCAGACTAGATTTTTGGGGGGTCATTTGTGACCCTCTGTATAAAAATATAGGAGTCATTTGAAATTATAAAGGGTCAAAAAAGAAAAAAAATTACAAAAGTAAATCTCAGAACTGTTTGATTTCACATGTTAACTTCAATTTTTCACATTTTGCAGATGCAAACGAAAAATCTTTTAAGGAAGAACCAAGTCTGATTTGCATTAAAACATTTAACATATCATACGTCTGTTTATTACAGAAACTTTGATATTTTTGGCCACTAAAGCTGAAATGTAGATAACATTGTTATCTACATTGTATGTCACTGACTAAAGCCCCTATCTTTTGTGGTGTGCTTGCCAACTGTGGTGCACAAATCGCTCGTTTACACCCTGACCGTGCATGTCTAAATCCCGGATACCGTGACTCACTGATTGTAGAACGGTTAAATGTTGTGCCGATAACGACACAGAATAGGTTAGCTAACTTAGCAACTTATACATACCCGCAGTTAACGGAAATAAATAAATTTCAGATGGCCATTTCGGATACTCAAAGAATAATTGCCGATTTTAACGGAATGGCGCTAGTAATTGGAGAAATAACTAAATGAAAATGCATCTAATTACATGTAAGGCAGATTATGAATGCGTCATAGAAAACGTGCTTTGCCTTTTCCAATGCGTCATTCGTGAAATTATTGCGTCAAAAACGCAGGAAACACAGAGTTGCGGAAACACTGTTCAGCAATTAAAAAACCGCATTGACAAGGATGTCATTGTTCTTTAATACTTGCCAGAGCACGATATCATTTGGTAAAAATTTACGAAATAAGTTAAATAGGTATATTCAGCGTGTGTGGGTACTTATTGTACATATTATCAAACAGTTGATTAAACAGTTTATTAAAATCAATTTCAATTCTTTTAGATAAGTTAAACATAGCATCATTATCTATATTTTGTATGAAGGGCATTTGCATAAATATATCCAACGCTTACCAATATAGATCTAATTGTATTCTATTATTGTTTTAACATTTTTTTCAATATTAAAAAATTGTCAGCATATAGAAATTCATAAATGAATTATGATATAAATATTTTACATGGATAATCAAAACAATAATATATAAGCTTGTCAGGAAATGTGAAAATCTCGTTGGACTGGACTTTTCTGCATGCCTTTTGAATATCATAAAATATAAAAATGTTAAATATTTTTTGCATTTATCATAAGAAATCATTGTAATAACACCCTGAAATAACAAAAGAATTATATATATAAAAGAATAAATGGTTTATTGAATAAAAATTTCTGGTCCGAAGTGTCTCCATCATGGTCCGAAATGACCATCTCATGGTCCGATATGTCCTAAAATCTGGTCCGAAATGACCAAAAAATCTGGTCCGAAGTGTCCGGTCCGAAACGTCTGTGGTCCGAAATGTCCGTAATTCGAACAATAGTACCACAGGGGACCATCCTACACAAATATATCCTCGGGTGGCCATGATTCGTTACCTTAAGCATACAGTGCTAGTTTGATATTTCCTTATGATCCAAGGGTTCTATGATAAATAAATTTTGCAGATACATTAAATATATGTATGTGTACACAGCACAATTTGGTTACATCATAAAATCAAAGCACAGAACGTGCTGAATTTGTTTGGGTCTCAGAATGTCAGAAATGTGAAGGTTGTGAGATTATAAACAAATTTGTTTTTGTATAGTGCCACCAATGCTTTCCAGCGTTTTAATTGTAATAAATTCCCTATAAGACTAATTGCAACACTGATATTCAATTCAATGTTTATTTGACTTAAACAATTTGAAAAAAAAATGAGTTGCCTTTACTGGGATTTGAACACCAGACCTCTCGCTTCCTAAGCGAGCGCGCAATCCACTCGGCTACGGTGAAGTTATATCTTAACGGCCTGAAGAAAACCATATTATTCTAAATTAGGGTTTGTAACAACGCTAACTGTTGTTTAACACATATGTAAATAATCATGGAGCTTACTATAAGCATGTATATCTATAAAGAATAAAACAATATTAGAAATCTTCGACCATTCGGGAACTATTTTGCTTGAAAATTAATGCGCCTTTACGCAGTGATCTCCCCTGAATTTTTCGGTGTAAGTGTACATATAAAGGGAAGTAACCGCTTCAAAAAAGCGGACTACTTTCGGCATTTGCAATTAACAGCATCAGAGTCTGAAATTTCGCTACCCTTATTTGTTTGGTCTGACGACCCAAACAAATAAAAATAAAGACCCATTTCATTCTTCTCATTGATTCCCGGACGGTGCAGATCACTTTTGTTGTGATTGATCATCAAATACTTTCTACGGTCATTAGCACTGCTCTGACATGTGTATACAGAAGTTTCAGTTCCTTGTGAAAGTGAAGGCAACTAGTACTGGTAAACTGCATGACAGCTTGCCCAGGAATGGAGCTGTCGCTGAACTGTGCTGTGGTAAATTCAATGTGGCTGACTGCAATGATCTGGAGTGAAAACTACCAATACCACTACCACCACCACCTCATCTTCTAAAGTGTGACTGGATGATGAATTTTGAAGTGTGCAGCAAGCAGTTCACATATGCTTTTGGCTGTATTAGTTTATTTAGTGAATATCTTCCAAAGAATTTAATCCATAATCTTCAGAGTCAAGGCTGCACAACTCTTTAGATTTATAAATAGAACAATATTCTTTATTAATGAAATGCAATAGTAAGAAATATAATGATTAAATTGACTGTTTTCTTTTCAGAATGCTATGAAGCTTGTGGCAGGAACACAAACTAGATCAACTGCATTGCCTGAACAACTGTCATTCAGACCAATTAGTTGTTTTTAATCAGATACATGTAACCAATTAATGTTTCTACATGTGTGAGAGAAAATATGATGTCAACCACTTAAAACTCCTTTATAAATATTTTTGATGTACTGTATGATGTTAAAGAAAATTTGCAAAATGACCCTAGCAGACAATTAAATAGGCTTTCAGTTATGAATCAAGCATCAAAGAGACAACCCAAATACAGTAAGTATAGTTAAGTTTTAGATGCAGTGAAGTATTTCAAGATCTAAAAAATTACATAAAATAAGACAATTCTTGACAGGTAGAGTAATACAAATTGAAATGATTTTATCATTATTTGCATCATTTAAATAAATACATGTACAAATGATAATTAAGAACAACAGGACCTTCAGATGGTATCCTTTATCAGCAAGGGAAGGTGTTTCAATTTTATTTTATTTATATTTTAGATTTTGGTTTGTTAGAGACACCAATAACAACATCAGACAGTACTGTAGACCCAAGTACAACATGCCAGACAAGCTGTAGTTCTGCTGCGGCAGGCACAAGCTATAGCAAAACACCATTATCATCTTGTCAAACCTCTGTGTATAGCAGTAATGTCAGTTCTCATGTGTCAGGGTAACCTAACTTTTAACAAAATTACATAACTTTTGTGTCAGTGTGGACTTTTGTAGCTTTTATATGACAATTCAGCAATATCGATATCAAATAATCATCATTGTATATAAAGCTGATATAATCATAAAGTTTTCCTAAATTTTGGTTTTTATGCCAAGTTAGAGTGGGAGCTATGAAGTGACCCTTGTTACACTGTCCAGCTGTCAAAGTGTCCGTATGTACACTGACAAAAGAGTGGAATGTGAAGGCATTCATGCCCTATGGACACATTTCTAGTTTAAATTGGAGTAAATTACATTAATATCTTATCATGCTAATAAGAGATGTGAATTCTAGAATTATAACATTTCTGTACACTATCATTAGTTTCATTATTATAATGGAAGAAGCACTGTTATTGTACATTGTAAATTAATTTATTGCAGCGGGTCAAACTATAGCTCATCTTTTAAATATGCCAGACACAGTGAGGGTAACATTAGTTCTAGTAGAACAAACAGAAGTTCTTTATCATTTTCATCATCGCTGACAACACCCAATGTTGGTTCGTCTACAACAACATCTTTCCTAGGATCTTCTACAAGGACTCCGCGGGGCATGTCATCATCAAGTAAAACACCAGGATCTAGAAGAACTCCCTACACTGGTTCTAGTATGACTCCGGCAGCAACACCAGCCAGAGTTGATAGATCAGCCCTTGTTGGCAAGTATCTGAGCCTCGGTATTAACCAATACATGTCACTGAAGATTTCTATACATCATAACTCATTATTCAGTTTGCAAAGGCTTTGCACTTCTTTTAGGGTGATGAATATATGTATTTGTTGATAAGAATTTCAGCAGTGATTTGTAGTGAAGTTGCTTGGTTAAGGTTTAACTAATAAATTTTTCGTATTTTCAATAATGATTGCATTTGAAATTAGTTATTTGCTCTTTGAGAAACAAACTGAATTATGAGGGGCAGTGTCATCTTCAAATTGTGTTAAACTGACACCATTGAAATAAAATCTGACTGAATTACATAAATCTTAATGCCAGACATGGAGGGATAAAGACAAAAATTGTTCAAGTAGGAATCTGGCAATAAATATATATTTTCGCTCATTTTGTTAGTTTGACACAAAACAAAACTCAAAATTTCAGCAATTGTTGAGGGCCGAGGACTAGCACGAGGGGAGATAGGTATGGCAACTCTAGATTTGAAGAGACCTGAGCTAGTGCTGTCTCAGTTCTCTGACATGTCAACTTATGTAAAAACCATCACAAAACTGCAGATCATTCACCCGTTAGAGGTATGTATACTGTGCTCTACATAGTCAAACCTGTTTAAATACCACCTCTGAATAAAGATAACCCTGAAAATTTTAATGAACAGCCTTTTTTATAACCCTGCATTGATAGATTGGAATGAATTAACCATCAAATACAGACCATTTACTATAAAAGCCATGATTTGTCTCTTACTTGTGTCGTCTCTGTTCACAGGTTTGACTGTAAAATGGGAAAGTTCAGTTTTTTTATGCTCCCCGAAAAATTTCGGGGGAGCATATAGTCGGCGCCTTGTCTGTCTGTCCGTCCGTCCGTCCGTCCGTCTGTCCGAGCAGACGAGAGCTACATTATCAGGTTTAGGTTTATGTACAGGCACTCTGTATGGGGTTCATTCCGTAGAGACATGTATTATGTGGTTAAAAATGCTCTTATGGGGTTAAAAAAATTTGCTCTTGTGGGGTTAAGAGATCAAAGGAATAACCCCACAAACACGTCTGCTAAGTACGTCCGTCTGTCCGTCCGTTTTCTTGTCCGGAGCATAACTTGAAAACCCTTGGAGATAATTTGTTTAAACTTCATACAGTGGTAGAGGGCATTGAGGGGGAGTGCAGTGTCAAAGAACCATAACTCTATTTTGCCCGGTTTTTGAATTATCTCCCCTTATAGAAAAATCTTGTCCGGGGCATAACTCTAAAACTATAAGAGATATCAACATGAAACTTTGTAGGTGAATAGATCTCAATGGGTAAGATGTGCAGTGGATAAGACCAATAACTCTTTTTGTCCTAATTTTTGGAGTTATTGCCTTTGTTAATTTCAACACTTTGAACTTTGTCCGGAACATAACTCTAAAACTATAAGAGATATCAAGATGAAACATTGTAGGTAGATAGATCTCATTGAGTAAAAGTGCAATGCAAAAGAACCATAACTCTGTTAAGCCTCATTTTTGAATTATCTCCCCTTATAGAAAAATCTTGTCCGGGGCATAACTCTAAAACTATAAGAGATATCAACATGAAACTTTGTAGGTGAATAGATCTCAATGGGTAGATGTGCAGTGCATAAGAACAATAACTCTTTTTGTCCTAATTTTGGAGTTATTGCCCTTTGTTAATTTTAACACTGAACTTTGTCCGGACATAACTCTAAAATTATAAAGAGATATCAAGATGAAACATTGTAAGTAGATAGATCTCATTGAGTAGAAGTGCATTGCAAAAAAAAACATAACTCTGTTAAGCCTCATTTTTGAATTATCTCCCCCTTTTAGAAAAATCTTGTACTGGACATAGCTGTAAAACTATAAGAGATATCAACATGAAACTTTGTAGGTAGATGTATCTCAATGGGATAGATGTGCAGTGCAAGAGAATCATAACTCTGCCTTGCCTAATTCTGGAGTTATTGCCATTTGTTTATTGTTACTTTTTGAATTTGTCCGGAAACATAACTCGGAAACCATAAGAGATATCAACAAGAAACTTTGTAAGTTGATAGATAACAGTGATTAGAAGTGCAGTGGAAAGAACAGTAACTCTGCCTTTCCTAATTTTGGAATTATTGCACTTTGAACTTTTTCCAGGGACATAACTCTGAAACTACAAGAGGTGTACTTTCCTGTGTCCAAAACCTATTCGGGGAGCATCACCCGGCTCAAACCGGGCTCTTGTTTCTTCTAGTTCCATTATTGGTAATTACTTCTCAATCAAATTATTTCTGTTAAAGTGTCTATAAGCATTTAGTATCATTTTAATATTTTCAAAGCTTTCATTTGAAAAGGTTATGACAACAGTGCCATGTGATGAATTGGCATCAATTACATATATGTATATGTTCTTTTATAAATAACGCTACTGTGTGTGTCATTAATTGGTGCCACATATTAAAAGGACAGTTTTAAAGTTTAAGACAAATCATTATACTTGCCTAGACCTCAGCTGGAACAATTTGTCAAGTACTATATAAAAGTCATAATTAACTCTGAATATTCCTTTGTTGTCATTATAATATGATAAGTAATCTCCTTTCCTGAGAAATAAGCAACTTCTTTCATTTACTATTCTTGATAAAATAGCTATTTTCATGTTATTCAAAAATTAGCAAATATTCACATTAACACTTTCTCTGCAAAACTTGCCAAGGTACACTTGTCAATTTACTCGTTAATACCAATTTTTCATTATGATATGGGAGACAACTATATCACATTTACAGTGTTACTGTTTCTGGTCTTTATAGCAGCCCCTTTTGAGAAAATACTCTTTATGATATTCTAAGAGTAGACATCTAAAATTTATAATTCATTACTTTATGTTTTTACACCAAAAACAAGATTGAAATTAAGGAACTGGTCTACAATCAGTATTGCAACTAGCAACCAACACTTTGCTATTTTAGCTCTGTCATTGCACGGGCTAATCAGCTATTTAGTTGTTATTGTTGAGAACTTGAGTACACCTGTAAAGAATTTAATAGAAATTTAAAGTGTTTAAGGACTTGAAATTGATTATATTTCAGATTGTTTTACCTAGCACAGCTTGTGAGTCAGGAAGTATGACAAATCTGTCCAAGTTTATCAGTGATCAGTTTCATCATACAAGCATTTCTACAGTTCAACGGAAATATTTCAATGAAACAAAAGGTTTGTTCTGGTAAAATATTTTTAAAAGGGATTATTTAGAAGAAATATAATACTAAGCCATTCAACATAACATTTTGAATTTTGGAGTCATCATTTGTAATGATAGCGAATTCAATATAAAGATATTGGAATGGGACAGAGAACAATGTAGAATATGATTTATCTGGTAGCCTTCACTAGTCACTATTAATACTAGCAGTTATAGATACATGTTTCATGGATGACAATTTTTGAATTTGTAAACTTATACTTTACAATATATACCCATGAGTTAGCTACAGTTTTGTCATTATTACAATGACCATAATAGTGTTATGAAAGATTTAATATTTTTATAATACATTCTTCTATCAAAGAGTTTTATTGTTATTATAATACTTGTATTATATAAAAGCCAGGAAATAAAGTTGTCAGTAAATTTTTTTATAGAATGTGATAGCTATGTTTTCTTATTTTCAGGATTGATGTATGTAAAACAGCTGTGTGTACCAGAATACAGCAGCGTGGAACTTGAAGTTTCCTCAAAGTTAGTGTGTCAGCAATTGGTTCATTTATCAATTAAAATGCTATTTGTACAATAATAGAACAAATGTTTATATATGAACTTGTAAATAATGTTTACATTTACAAGTATGCTTTAGCTACAAGAAATAATCAAATTTTAGTCATAAAATTCACTGTGACAGCCTATCATGACATGGTACATTCAAGTTTCTTTGATAAGCACTAGGTTATATTAATGTATATGCAAATGACCCTGTTACATTTATGTATTTGAAATCTCTTGAGTGTTAATTCCTATAGATAACTGACATTTTCTAATTTACCTGCAGCCACTTAATTTTATCACACTCCCACTACTAAAATAATAGTGGGACATACAGATTTGGCTTTGTCAGTATGTCCATTTGTCATTGTATGTCTGAGGACTGACAATATGGTGAAATGTGGAGGCATCCATGTCCTATGAACACATTTTTAGTTTGGTGTATTACTTTTTCAGATATTACTGTCTTGCAGCAGTGGCAGCTCTAATGAAGTACCTTGAGTTTATACAGAACACAATATATGCTCCTGCGTCACTTAAGATTGTCTTCAAGGGAAGTGAAAATACAACTATGATTGGTAAATACTTCTTTATTGATCTCTTTTTACTTAGGGTAAGTAAAAAAATTTTGTTTCAAGTTCCATGTTTTAGAATAAGTAACTTTTATATGGATTATTTTTAAAGATAATTTTGATATTTATTACAAAGTTGAAATCATGTGAATTATCTTAAAAGTAAGTATTGACAGGCGTTTGTTTAGTCTTTACAGCCACTAATAATGATGATTATATTTTATCATTCCTACTTTTTAGCTCTAGGTTTTATTTTTCTATTTAATAAAAATTTATAACCATATTCTAGAGATCAGTCTTGGAAATTATGTCTTTGATCAGTAATTTTTATTCCAACAATGTCCATTTTCCACTTCACCGTCTAACTGTCCCAGGGTGGGGCTATCATAAGGAATTTCATACTCAAAATAAACCGCCTCCGTGTTCAAGTGGTTAGAGTCGATGACTTCTAATCCAGTTACCTCTCTGGCGTGGGTTCGATCCCCGGGAGATGCTTTGGTAGTTTAGCGCCGAGGAAGGTAGTCTAGTACTGGTGTAACTCTCCAGGAACGATGATTAGATAACTACCCGCCTATATAACTGAAATACTATTGGAAAAAGGCGTAAAATGAAACAAACAAACAAGCAAATCATACTCAAATGTCAAAAGTTCCCACTATTCTCCAGGTGATGCATTAGATTCTGTGTATGACTCAAGCATTCAGTGTAATATACAGAAAAACTTACTTTTATATAGATGTTTCTACTGTGAGGAATTTGGAGTTGTTACAGAATCAGCGTGATCCACACAGTGACCACACTCTCTATGGTATCCTCAACTATACAAAAACTATTGGTGGAGCTAGACTGCTGAGATCTAATATCCTTCAACCACCTTCAGGTATGTTAAATATCAAATATTCATTTGTCACAGAGGTGGTATGTTTTGAGAACACTAAGATATTGACACTATTTAAGATGATTCCTTGAGAAAATAGATGGCTCTGATATTTAAGAAAAAAATTAAGCTTAAAAAACATTGTTTTGGTGAGTAGTTGGAAATATATGGCACTATAAAATGACAGAATGATTTTTGTCAATATTTTAAAATATTGACATACTCTTTTGGCACCTCATTTACTATCATAATCTATGTTATTCTGAGTGGTTTAATTGCCAAACCGGTTATGTTTGCTCCTAATTTTGTGATCTGATTTTATTTTGCTTTAGTTTTCATAGATTATAAGATACATGTATATTACATTTTGTAGCATGTTACTGATTTTTACAGGCTTTTGTTTAGGTACAATATTTAGGCAGGACTTAAACTTTTTCAATATGTTTTGTGATATATTAGTATGAAAGATCACATTTAACTGTCAATTTAAAAAAAAAAAATTTATTCTGCTTAAAGATCAGGATACTATTACACTAAGACAGGATGTTGTAGCAGAGTTGATAGAGAAACCAGAGATTTTCTACAATCTACAAGCTGTAATAAGCAGATTTCTAGACATTGATCATTTGTTGTCATTATGTGTACAAGTCCCAAAACAGGAGAATGTTAAAATAGCTGAAAATAAGATTACCAATGTGATGTACCTAAAGCATACCTTGGAGTTAGTGACACCTCTCCGGGAAGCACTGGGCGATTGTGAAAATCCTCTTCTTATGGCATCTTATAAGGTAGTTAAAAGATGATGTTTTATTTCTGTATTTATCCTTTATTTATTATTCAGTTAAAAGACTGTCATTATGATAATTTCTGTATTTTTCTAGATTATTGCACTCAATATAGGCTAGAGTCCTCTCTTATCCATTACTTTTCAGTTAGCTTTTGCAAAAATTCTTCCAATGTTGTTTCATGAATTCAAACAAGACCATAATTATACAAGAAACTAAGTTTTTACTGATGTTTTCTTTGTTTTTATTAAACTGTAAATGTATTAGCTGATTTCAGTGATATGCAGTGTAATCTTTGTAAAGCAGCCCTTCTCGAGAACATTAACCTTTTGACAATAACAATAGCAAGTTTTCCTGAACTTAAATTCTTCACTAAATCTAACCTCTCTTAGAGCAACACCTGTAAACTGCAGTCAAAATAATTTTCTCCAAAAGGTGGTTTTTCTACAGAGGTTGTATTGTATATATTTTAAGAGTTTTATTCAAGTGTTTTTATTCACCAACAGGTTTTGGAGGATCCTAGATTTGTTATTATGCTGGACAAAATCAATTGTGTGATACATGAAGATACAAAATATCAGAAAGGAACACTCAATATGAGGTCACAAAAATGTTTTGCTGTGAAGGTCAGTCATACAATATTAGATACTTAATATATAAGAAGTAATACTTTCATAGTTTTCAATTACATAAAAGAAATTAACTGTCAACAGTGCTCTTAAAGTAGCAATAAAAACTAAGATTTAATGGTTACAAAGAAATAATTAATTTTCATCATTTAGAAAAAGAAGGGAAAAAGAAGGAGTTGAATATTTGTCAATTTCAAATGCTAAGAAACATGATAAAGTGGTCATAGACATTAAAACAGCATTTGTCTAAGATTATGATTTTAAAACAAAGCAGGAAATATACTATGATAATGAGTCAACAACAATTGTTAAGTGATATTATGTATCATGTTCCACTATTACAACTGATTGTAATGTTTTGTTTTGCTATTTGTACAATTCTGATAAAATACTTCAGTGTTGTAATGAAACAAATTAGAAGAAATATATATTATGAGACATTGTAACATTCTGTTCACAGCCAAACATGAATGGTATGACCTTACTTATATGTTACATGTGTTTGAACAGTTCTATTATGTTGAAGTTCTAATACATTACATAATTGTTTTAAAACTGTTTTTGTTGTTCATTTATTTCCAAGGTAAAAATGCTTATTCAGTGTAAGAAGGAAAATATGCTTGAATTTTTTTGGGTAAAAAACTGTCTTATTTAAATATAAATAACATGTGTTAAAAGAAAAAAAACTAATTTTCTTATTTTGATCAAAAGTAAAACTAACATTTATGAAAAAAAAATCTCACAAGGTCATGTGGTTATCCATAGAAACATTTTGTTTTTTAATGAAAATTTCATTTAATCAAGTTCATGTTCCTGAAAATCAAATAGAGATGAAATGAAATTAGTTTTTTTCCGTATACTACTTTTTGACAATTTATTTGAAAAAATTAACAGTTACCTGCACAATTGTTATAATACATTTGTAAAATAATGGTAACAATTTGAAAAATAGAAAAAAAGAAAGCTAGATAAAGATATATGTAACCCCACATTTATCTGGGCATGAAGCTTTATAATTTTATAAATCTTTATTTCTATAACTTTTGCAGGGCTATTAGATATATCAAGAATAACATACACAGAAATGGTTGATGACATAACAGGTAACTTACTGTAATCCTTAAAGTATTAAAATCTAGATGCTTATTGAAAATAAATTGTAGAGAAAAAACAAAAGCATTTGATTAATTATAATTTATATGGACAATTGAAAAGTTCTTTTCTTCTTTTCACAACTAAATAGAATATGTCATGTGAATATGAAAGAGTTTAGTAGTATTCATCATGTATTGTGGTCATTTAAAATAATTGCTACTGATATTGTGTTGTTATTGTTGTACTATGATAGATCTAGTGAATCAGATGGCAGGTACACACAATCTACCACTAAAAGTTGTATACAGTACATCACGAGGGTTTCATATACAGATGTATGGAGGGGGGACAGAGGGCTACACTGTTGACAATTTACCAAGCACCTTCATCAAAGTCACCAAGTTTAAGAACACTTTCAGTTTTACTACTACAGATCTTGTAAGACATCTATGATTTGAATTTGAATTAAATTTATTCATATTTAGGACTGGTTGATACAAGTTTATATAATGAAATACTATTTAATGCCTTCAATCAAGGAGTGGGGAGCAAACTGTGATTGGGTGGTCTGTCTGTAGCTGTTTTCATATGTACAATATCCTTTTATCATTGATTGATTTTTTGAGAAATTAATTACCAATAACCCTTGTTGACCAAAAGGTAATGTGCACATTGACATTTTGTGAAAAAACGTAATGTCCAATTACCGTAATAAATTGAGATGTGATAAGTTTTTTGAAACTTGGAAGATGCATAGTTTTAGAGGCTGTCCTATTAATTTTGATGGAATGTCAAGGTCAAACTGAGATCTAGTTAAAAAAATCCCACTCTAATTGAGAGCTTTGGAAAAAAATATCCCTGGAGTTGTTTATTTGGTAAGGACATTAGATTCTTTCATTGTGAGGAAGGTATCTAGCTGGCTTACAGAATGAAGGTGGTTCTACTTGGGTACCAGCTTGTTCCTCAATTAATGCAGAAAAGGAAAACTGAGTGTACCTAAATCAATATGACTGGAAACTGGCCAAATAGCCTTAAAGCTTTGGATATATTTCAGTTTACCTTCTGCAATTGTGTTTTAAATATTAACTATGACATCAGTCCCCTGATGAAGATGGCTGTTTTTTCTTTTTGATGCCAGATATATTTTAAGTTTTGACCCATTTTCCTAAACTGTAGGGAAAAGTTACACTTTGAATGGTTTATATTAAAACTCCTTTCTTATATATACAATTATGAATTTCTATTTTCAGATAAAGATGAATGGTATGTGTTTACTTTATCAAAAGTAGTATTAAGATTTTCCTCCCCTTAGCTAGAAAAAAAAACTGAAGTATGAACACTGAAGATCAAGATAGTAACACAAGTGTATGATGATCCTATCATAATTAACATCAAAACAAACTCTGGAAATTATATTTCAGATATAAATGCTTCTATTTAGATACATGTTACCTTACCAAATTAAAATAGCAAGATATAATTCATCATTGGTAAAAAACATAAAAATAAAAACTTTTTTAAAGTTGAACATTACATGGTCTGGAACAATGTTTTATTGAAAAATAAGGTAACCTAAAATAATTTTAATGTAAAATATTAGAAAAACTTGAAACTACATGTATACTGAAAATCAAAAAAATGATTTAAATTTAAAAATCAATATTGATATGTGTGTGGTATAGCCTCTTGTAGCATTTTATATAATCTATTTTAGATAGAGTAAAGGAGTCATTGCATGAGATTTATATGATGACAAGTGTGTAAGTTGTTAATTCTGACTTCCTTAATTACACTTCTTATCTTGTTAAAATCTAAATTCATTTCTATTACAAAGCTGTTAATTATTTGTCTTCAACAACTGTACCCAGTCTTGAAATGGACAATAATTTCTTGTCCTTTTGTTTTGCTAGTGTCATTTAAAAACCCAGAGGATTTTATGGAAAAGATAAGTCTTTAAAGTATTTGTACAACATCTTTGTAACTGTTTATTATTTTTATGATATGAGCCACGTCATGACAAAACCAACAGTGTGTTTGCGACCAGCATGGATCCAGACCAGCCTGCGCATCCACACAGTCTGATCAGGATCCATGCTGTTTGCTATCTAAGTTTCTCTACTTGTTGGTTTTGTCGTGACATGGCTCATTTGTGTATTTTAGTATGCTATAGGTGTTGTTATAGAGATTGTTTATAAAACTATTTTAGAGTATTAACAGAGTTACTGAACAACATAAGAGATGATATTGGAGCATTATACAAGCTGACAGAGACTGTTGCCACAGTTGATATGCTCCTCTCATTTGCTCATGCTTGTACACTATCAGACTTTGGTAAGATGTAAAACCTTTTTTTTCTATCATATTTTGATAGGTATTGTTTTTTATTATAATATAAACTGATAAGAAAAAAAGGGTATTAGTTCAGGTATTTGAAAATATGTAGACATTGAAGAAATTTTATTGTTTTCTTCACAATTATGTTAGAATATATAAAGAAGCATTGATGCTAGATATCTGTATATCTTGCCTAAAAGTACTTTTATCTAGATAAGTAGAGAAATCTTATGTCTTGCTTTTGGATCATTAGTACGTAGGGAAATATTGTTTGATATGACATATAATAAAGTAAGAATATTTCCATTGATGAGTTTTGTTTCAGTACGGCCAGAATTTACAGATACATTTGCTGTCAAACAGAGCAGGCATCCTATATTGGAGAAGATATCAATAGAACATCCAGTGCCAAATAATATTGTATGTTATATATTTGACTTCAACATTGAATTAAAACAAAAGACTTTAATGCAAGTGTAAAATAAAAATTGTTCTGCCAATGTATACCATTATGTTTGCTCATTAATAGCTGATTTAAAAAAATGATTTGCTTAACAAGTACTCTACTATATTAAATAAATTGCTGACATTTTGTTTGAATTAAATATCAATATTTTGTTTTGTTTGTCATGACATAGCATAAAAAGTTTCTTATCCCTTTCAGTATGCATCAGAGGACAGCAATTTTGTGGTCATTACAGGTCCAAATATGGTCAGTATATTATAATCATTTTTTGTGTCTTGTAACTTTTAAGTAAATAAAAACACTTTTTAAAAAGAATTTTCATATTTGAAGTTAATCTTTGTTATGTTTAAGTGTTGATTTTAGATTTATTAATAACATGAATACCAATTTTTCATTACGATATTCCTAAATTACTGTTTAGAGGTGTTTTTAGAACAAATTATATTATTCTGTGAATGCTAAGTAAAAATCTAAATATTATACTATTAAGATTTTAAGCTGAGGATCTATGATTTTGATCCTTTTCAAATATTAACAGTGAGTTATATACATTTGACTTTGGTGAAAGGTTTTTTTAATAGATTTATTTTAAGATGTAAATGAATTATCAAATTGCATGCTATAATACTTGACACTCTTCATAAGGTAATACATAAAAATAGAGATATTTCACATTTACATTTATCAGAGTGGAAAGTCTACATACCTACGTCAGATTGCCCTGCTACAAATTATGGCACAGATAGGATCATTTGTACCAGCAGAATATGCTTCATTTAGAATAGCAAATCAGATCTTCTCTAGAATTGGTAGTGATGATGATCTAGAAACTAACTCCTCAACATTCATGCTAGAGGTATGTTCATTAATTATTTGTCTATAATCTATTAGAATTTTGTAAATTTTACCCATAACTTGCTGAATTTCTTAAATGGACTTGTCCATCTTCCATTTAAAGCTTTCCATTATCAACTTTGGTGACATTTAGATGAAAAATTTAAGTTAGTTGACCAACAGTAAAGAGCCTTGTCAGACTGCATTTTCAAGAGTTCTGAGAATTGATTTTATTAGAAATATATGAAATATCTTTATTTTCCAACAAGGTTGATTATGTGAGCCGCGTCACAACAAAACCAAAGTAATGTGTTTGCGACCAGCATCCGTGCAGTCTGATCAGGATCCATGCTGTTCGCTATCAGTTTCTCTACTTGTAATAGGGTTTGTAAGCGAACAGCATGGATCCTGATCAGACTGCGCAGATGGCAGGCTGGTCTGGATCCATGCTGGTCGCAAACCCATTATGTTGGTTTTGTCATGACCAGGCTCATGTATTTCTTATTCATTGAATCAGTATGATATAATTATTCTAGTGTTTTTGTTTTTATAGATGAGGGAAATAAATTACATTATTCAAACAGTCTCTGACAACTCACTTATTATCATAGATGAGCTAGGAAGAGGTTTGTTTATCACCTTTTATTATTGATTATCCTCATTGACTACAGTCAATTCTGTTTTATACTTTTGATTGATTTTTAGTCACACTAAAAGTAAAACTGTGAAGGTCACATTTCTACTTTCCAGCTTTAGTTACTGGTGAAGGTACCTATCACTATATTATTCAAGCTACCTGAGTAGAATCACAGACATGAAAGCGACTGACATGATGTGAGCCCACAACAATATCTTAATAGCCACATAATCCCACAATGTCCAAGTAGTATCAACATGCATCTGTAATTCTAACAGCAAGGATATGCATATATCAATTACTTATACTTTCCTATATTAAGTTGTTCACTGGAATGTTTTTTGTACCTGAATATCTTCAATTTAACTCTTAAATGATTATCATATCAAATCTACTTTTATGCTTGACAAGATATTAAATATCTTGAGAAAGTTGATAATGAAAATACCTGTAGTACATTTTCACTTAAGACTTTTTTCACAACCATGTAATTTGCACAAACTACTTTGTGTAAGAAGCCTATTTGGGTTAGCGATATCCACACTATAAGAGATAGATGGTGAACAACCTTACAATGTTTATAATGTATACATGTCTATCAATATGGCAATGTTATTCATTTATTGTTGTTGTTATTTTTTTCAAGCATGATAGTATTATTGTGCCCCCACGTTAGTGGCGGGCATTTAGATTTACCCTTGTCCGTCCGTCCGTTCACTTTTGTGTCGCACGTAACTCAAAAAGTATTTGACCTAGAGTCATGAAACTTTACAGGAATGTTGATCAGCATGTGTTGTTGTGCACCTGGGTATTTTCGTCTGGATATTTTTAGTACTTTCAGAGTTATTGCCCTTGACTAAGTAAAATTTTGCAATTTTCAACTTGTGTCACACGTAATTCAAAAAGTGTTTGACCTAGAGTCATGAAACTTTACAGGAATGTTGATCAGCATGTGTAGTTGTGCACCTGGGTATTTTCGTGTGGATATTTTTAGTATTTTCAGAGTAATTGCCCTTGACTAAGTAAAATTTTGCAATTTTCAACTTGTGTCGCACATAACTCAAAAAGTATTTGACCTAGAGTCATGAAACTTTACAGGAATGTTGATCAGCATGTGTAGTTGTGCACCTGGGTATTTTCGTGTGGATATTTTTAGTATTTTCAGAGTTATTGCCCTTGACTTAGTAAAATTTTGCAATTTTCAACTTGTGTTGCATGTAACTCAAAAAGTATTTGACCTAAAGTCATGAAACTTTACAGGAATGTTGATCAGCATGTGTAGTTGTGCACCTGGGTATTTTCGTCTGGATATTTTTAGTATTTTCAGAGTTATTGCCCTTGACTTAGTAAAATTTTGCAATTTTCAACTTGTGTCGCACATAACTCAAAAAGTATTTGACCTAGAGTCATGAAACTTTACAGGAATGTTGATCAGCATGTGTAGTTGTGCACCTGGGTATTTTCGTCTGGATATTTTTAGTATTTTCAGAGTTATTGCCCTTGACTTAGTAAAATTTTGCAATTTTCAACTTGTGTCGCACGTAACTCAAAAAGTATTTGACCTAGAGTCATGAAACTTTACAGGAATGTTTTATCAGCATGTGTAGTTGTGCACCTGGGTATTTTCGTGTGGATATTTGTAGTATTTTCAGAGTTATTGCCCTTGACTTAGTAAAATTTTGCAATTTTCAACTTGTGTCGCATGTAACTCAAAAAGTATTTGACCTAGAGTCATGAAACTTTACAGGAATGTTGATCAGCATGTGTAGTTGTGCACCTGGGTATTTTCGTCTGGATATTTTTAGTATTTTCAGAGTTATTGCCCTTGACTTAGTAAAATTTTGCAATTTTCAACTTGTGTCGCACGTAACTCAAAAAGTATTTGACCTAGAGTCATGTAACTTTACAGGAATATTGATCAGCATGTGTAGTTGTGCACCAGGTATTTTCGTCTGGATTTATTTAGTATTTTTAGAGTTATTGCCCTTCTCTTAGAAAATTTTTGCAATTTTCAACTTGTGTGGCAAGTTACTCAAAAAGGATTTGACATATTTAGATTTGCACCTGGGTTTTGCTTGTGGATTTATCCAGTATTTGTAGAGTTATTTCCCTTGACTTAGTAAAAAGATTGACAGAACAGTGGCGCTGTGGGGGCACCCGTGTCCTATGGACACATTTCTAGTTGTTATGTACTTGCAAATACATGTATATCATTATACTTATAGTAATGATTTATAAATATATACAAAGGAACAAGTGTAGAAGAAGGTGTGGGTTTATGTTTCTCTATCTGTGAACATCTTATCAATACAAAGGTGACTATATTTACTTCTTACACAAAGTTCCCAGAACTATTTTAATATTCAAATTTTGACAAAGTTTCGATATGTTATGCACCTTAAAGAAATATATTTTTGCACTGAAAATGACCAGATATTGTTTATTTGGTAACACAGTCCAATGCTTGTTTATACAGTGAAGGCAGTTGTTTGACATAGATATATATTTTTGCATAAAAAACCAAAAGATATATGATGAATAATATTTTGAGTTATGTTATGCCATATTTTCTTATATTATTTCAAGTGTAGAGTACACTTTTAGATTCAGTAAATGTTACTTTATGTATTTTTTTAGGCTTTCACGTTCTTTGTGACACATTTCCGAGACTTGACATTGCTGGACAGTTTATATCCAAATGTTGAAAAGTATGTACACACAAGTACTTAGATTTACTCTTTATTTGAAAGAAAAATATGATAAAAAGATAAAAAAGCATTTAAAGTAAATAGGGATTCCAAATGCATTGAAAGCCACGGTGATGCTTGGGTTTTGACACAAGTGTAGTGACACCTAATAGATAAGACAGAACTCGACTATTCGAAGAATATGGAGAGCTATTGCAGTCGGGTCGGCGTTGGCATCCATGTTCAGTCTGCATTGGTTAAAGTTTTTTTGTAAAGTCAAATATCTCATTTATTACTTGAGATATTCAACTGAAATTTACAATACTTATTTATAGTAACATTGTACATCAGATTGACAAGTTGGATAATTCTGCATACAATATTTACAGAACTATGCCCCTTTTCAACTTAGAAATTTTGGTTAAAGTTTTTTTGTAAAGTCAAATATGTCAATTATTGCTTGAGGTATTCAATTAAAATAACAATACCTTTTTATAGTAACAATGTACATCAGTTTGCAAAGTTGCATAACTCTGCCTGCAATATTTGTAGAATTATGCCACTTTGACACTTAGAAATTTTGGTTAAAGGTCTTAGGAACTATCAAAGATATTTACTTGAAACTTTACACATGTACTTAGGGTCATAATTGAAGGTCACATCTCAAGATCCATTACTCTGCCATGTATTTGGACTGAATTATGCTCCCTTTTGTACTAAAATAATCTCCTTTTCTTGGTTAAGTTTTGCATGCAAGTTTTGCATATCTCTGAAACTATTAAAGATACAAACTTGAAACTTCATATGTATATTTGTGGTCATAAATAATGATCACTTAACAGCACTCATATCTGTGTCAGTACAATCAATATTATTTCCAAAGGTATTTTACTCTCAATACATTTCCTTTTCTAACATGACTGTCTATTCAAACTCCAACACATCCATTACAAACCTGCTGACTTGTTCCTTGATTTTAAAAGGAATTTGTTGCATATATTTTTATAACCAAAAATAAGGGTTCCTGATAATTTAATCTTTTTACACATTTTTGTTCACAGGTAGAGGCCTTTTATATAATTAATGTGTACTCCTGTGTACAGAAGTTCTTTTGCTATCATAATTATTCACATCTTTATTAAGACACCTTTACACATTGCAATTTGACCGAAAGTGTACTTTGTTCAAAAGTGTTTTTGCTTTGTTCAAATGTTTATTTGCTTTTATGATATTCAGATTCTTATTGGTAACTTAAGCTTATGACGGCATCTTCCATTTTGTATATTCATAAATACTAATAAAAAGTACCAGTTGTTTCATATATAACTGCATCTTTTTGAATAAATATTTCAATTTTCACTTGCAGTACTTCAAACTTCTTTTCAAAAGTCATGTTCATAATAATATTCTGATAAATATAAAATGCATTTCCACTAAACCAGCCGGGCTAGCGCACAGGTAGAGTGCTGGTCTGTCAAAAGGTAGACCTGTATTCAATCCCTGTCCTTTCCATTAGTCCAATGCCATTATTTTGATAACTGTTCTAATTGTCGAGCATGCTGTCATCGGACAGCTCTGATTTGCTTATTTCCAAATTTATGCCCCTTTTTATACTCAATGAAACTCATGGTTAACTTTTTGCTTGTAAGCTGGTATCTCCCTAACTACTGAAGGGAATGGAATGAAACTTAAATATACATTTTCACTGTGATTTTTTAACATGATTGGCACATGTCCCATAACTCTGATTTACTTATTTACGCCCCTTTTAATACTCATTGAAACATCCTTGTGACAACTCTATCGAATAGTCGAGCATTGCTGTCATCCATTGTCATATAGACTATGAGTATATCTTTATTACCAAAATTGTTCATCAAATCAATTTGCTTTTTGTATGATACCATTTAAATCGACTTTTATGTATAGTCAAAGCCGAACTAATGACCATCTTTGTATTAAGTCCATAACATTGGTTTATGCTAAGTTTTGTTTTGGCATTTGTAATCTTGCAGTGATCAGTGAAGATTATTGCTGTGCTTTCTGGAGTCATGTTCATCTAGAAAACTAGTAGAACTTTACTGTTATGTAAATTATCCATTTATCTACCAATTTAACTTAAATGTAATTCGTTTGTTTGTTTGTTTTTGCCAGCTATTGTTTTGAGATACACAGAAGTTTTAGTACTGAGGCAAATTGTGAGAAAGTAACATACACCCATATATTGTCCAAAGGAAAGACAGAAGAAAAACATTATGGTATATTTACTGTCATTAATAATTGTTTATGTTTTAATGTTTTAAATCCTTAACCATTCTGGATCCAAAAGTCTTTAGCCTTTGTGATTAGTATAGAGCCAAGCCAGCCCTCACACCCATGCTGTCTGACCAGGCTCTATACTGTTAAATGTTCAAAATAATATTTGATGTTGAAACCCCCTAATTGAAGAAATTCAGATTTGTTGATTTGGGATGGCTGCTTAGTTGTATTTTCAATATATAGTTTGTTTCCTTTAGTGAAACAAATATTGCATGTTTGTTTAGTAGTAAAGGACAGGTAATAAAAGTTATTATATGATAAATAAGGCACTTAATTATAGTATACTTTAGTGAAAGGGCTTGTACAGTATTGTGAAATGTACTATATTAACCTTAAATTCTTTAATTTAACAAAGAATAATAATTATATTTCACATTATATTCAAGTAAGCTAGGTTTGACATTGGAATGGCATACCAATTTTATGATGAATGAAATCAAAATATGTTATTTGCAATATTTTAGGAATACAGTTAGCTGAAATTTCAACACTTCCTCCCTCTGTGGTTGAATATGCCAAACAATTGGCAGTAAAGATAGAAGAGGAAAAAAAGGTTAGATTGCCATATTTTCCTGTTTTTCTACATATTTAGATGTCGTAAGATAACAAAGTAAGAGCTATAAAAATTACTTCTTTATGAACAGATATATTAATGTAACTTAAATTCAAATTCTTTAAATGTTAATGATCGAAAATAAAAGAACTTTACTTTGGCGAGTCTGGCACTCATAGATATATTATTGTCAAAGTTATGTCATTGGTTTGGTCAACTTAATCATTTGCTTCTTCTTGTATCGTGAGCCAGGGTAATTTTGTGACGTGAAATGCTTTTTATTGAAACAGCTGATTACATGTATATTGCCATCAATAAGGAATATTTTCTTCATATATTGTAGAATAGTGAGAAACAAGATAAAGAGTTATCACGACAGAGAGCAGTATTTAAACTGGCCACTAGACTTGTACAGGCAGCTAGAAGTTCTCGGCTAGATGAAGATAGTCTTAAACAATATGTCACCTCTCTCAGGAAAAAATATGACGAGGAAGTACTCAGCCTCGAGGAGTAATGCTTGAAATATTATTTTAGAATTTAGAAAATTGTACTTCAAAACCAAAACTTGTTGATGATCTTATTAACATTTATTGTGGAATCGTTTCAGTATTTAATAATATTATGCTTGATTAAATAGGTGTAAAACTGGTTGTCTTCAACTGTTTAGATATTTTCTTACCAAGTACATTGAGCTGGCTGCTTGTTCAACATGTTGTGACTCATCAAAGGGAGCTGTCTTAGATTAAACATTTATGTTGATGATTGTTTTAGATTTATACGTTCTTTACCATTTTGTTTTAAAGCTGTCTTTATATTGCCTTTGAACTTGATACATTTGTATTATTGTCTCATGGTAATAAATAATGTTTTTGAATGTAATAATTATTAATTACATATACCGGGGCTTTTGCACGAAAAATGCTTTATTTATTTTGTTTTTTCCCTCTCATTGCCTGTAATTTTAATTTGAACCTGACATTATGAGACAGAAAAAAGAATAATTAAGTAACCTTTCAGATGAAATTGATAACATATAACTGGCAATGCGGTTATTAGCAAAATTATTTTATAACAAAGATTGATATTGTTTGACAAGAACAATTGTATCTCAAAGTCTTTGGTGTCCTGAAAGATGAACTTCTGGAGAATAACTTTCTGTTAACATTCGTTAGATATTGATATCTGAGGTAAAAGCAAATTTTACAACAATCATTGTCATTTAAATAGGTATGAGGCACCAATTTATATGTTTGTTGTTCATTTTAACCTAATTTGTCGAATATGAGTTAGTAAGAATATATATAGATGTTATTTTTTTCATGCGTAAGATCAAAATATATTTCACAAAGTAGCTTAGACACGGGTGAAAAAATAATAGCTGATGTGTTACCAGTGAAATATGTTCTAAAGGATATTTGTTCTGAAAAGATAGTAATGCCATATAAGATTATCAGATTTCTTTATTTATTACTTTTAAAAGCATGTTCATACAGTCAAGCACGATTCTGAATAGTTTTAAAAAAAAAAAAAATCAAAAATATGCGCCTGACAGTTATCATTATTCTACAGAATGATCCTGCCAGATTAGAGCGTTATATCTTTTCAAGAAAAAAAATTGACATTGAGCAGTGATCATCTCAATATCAGTCTGTTACACTTTGAAAAAGAAAACGATTTGCTTATGAAAATATATGTTTAAAATACATGTACAAATAGTTTCTCTAAGTCTTACTCTTTATATGTTAAACAAAAGGATGTTTGCAGCTTGTTTGAATATGTCCTATCTTATCAAACGAAGTATGAAAATGACAGTTTATTCTTCAATAATAGCAACAGGGACTATAGCATTAAGGATCCTTTAATAAAGGGTTGTCCATCATTCATTTTCTTTGGTAAAATTAAAATTTTGGTTATTGCATTGAGTGAACCGAATTGACTTTAGGAACACAATTGTTTAAAAGCCACCTTTTAACATATATTTATCAACATAAACTATGTTTATCGTGTTCATTAAATAACACATATTTTTTGCTAATGTTTAAGTACTTTGCTTCAACTATGCGTAAATGGAGATATATAATAATAAGAAGTTGTCAGCTGTTGTCACCAGTCTAGAGCAATGCCAGTATTAACAACTGCGTTGTATGATAGTGTATGATCAGATTCTATACTGTTGGTTTAAACATGAAACATGGTCGTGACCCGATTAGGGCTCGAATCTTCGATCACACCGTAACCACTAGGCCACCACTCCATTTCTATATGGTTTACTACTGTATTTAAGTATCACGACATGTAAATTACTTTAAAGATCCTGTAACACAATTTTTTCATGGTTTTATTTCATAAATATGCTCAAATTAAGATTTGTCAATATTGTAAGTTCCAATAAGCATTATTTATAAAGATATTTCCCAATTTAACATTTCATGTAAATAAAGGGAGGTAATTGGAAATTTATTTTCTATAAATTCTAAGTCAAATTTTCCAATAAGAAATGAATGCATGTAATTTATTGATTTAATATTATGTGCACTATTTGCAATACACATTTTACATATTCTTTGCTGTTTGGAAATTGTTTTATTTGCATAATTATATACATATATAATTTTTTGCAAGTGTGGTATACAAACAGTAACAATATCAATCACAAAACATACAGGATCTTTAACCTCTGATGGTTTGTTCAAAATTTAAATCAGGACAATCTAGGGTGTAGGGTGAACAATTTTTTGTCCCCTGATCTGTACATTTTACTTCATTTCAGTCGTTGAGCAATTTCTCATAAATTTATGCTATCGCCTGGTATGAGCGAGCAAAAAAAGCTCATAATAGCTGGTCCTTTAGAACTGAGCTGAAGATACTACCATTACAATACAATAAATAACACCATCCAGCAAGTTACGCAGGGATACCTATATTAGTCAACTCAAGCTTTACATACGCATACAAGACAGATAATTAAAAAAGACATAGTTTATTTAATATTTATTGTAATGATATATGGCCATGCACGCATTAAATCTACTAATCACAACACTGTCAATTTTCAGTATGTATTGTTTTGTCGTTGAAACGTAATGTGCATTACGACACAGCATAATTTGAACAATGTATTATATACTACATCTCGTTTAGTTTTGATTAGTTTTTAGCTCGACTATTCGAAGAATATGAGAGCTATTGTAGTCGCCCCGGCGTCGGCGTCCGCGTCGGCGTCTGCGTTGGTTAAAGTTTTTTGTAAAGTCAAATATCTCAATTATTGCTTGAGATATTCAATTGAAACTAACAATACTTATTTATAGTAACAAGGTACATCAGATTGACAAGTTGGATAACTCTGCCTACAATATTGACAGAATTATGCCCCTTTTTAACTTAGAAATTTTGGTTAAAGTTTTTTGTAAAGTCAAATATCTAAATTATTTCTTGAGATATTCAATTGAAACTTACAATACTTATTTATAGTAACAAGGTTCATTAGATTGACAAGTTGGATAACTCTGCCTACAATATTGACAGAATTATGCCCCTTTTTAACTTAGAAATTTTGGTTAAAGTTTTTTGTAAAGTCAAATATCTCAATTATTTCTTGAGATATTCAATTGAAACTTACAATACTTATTTATAGTAACAATGTACATCAGATTGACAAGTTGGATAACTCTGCTTACAATATTGACAGAATTATGCCCCTTTTTAACTTAGAAATTTTGGTTAAAGTTTTTTTGTAAAGTCCAATATCTCAATTATTGCTTGAGATATTCAATTGAAATTTAAAATACTTTTTTATAGTAACAATGTACATCAGTTTGCAAAATTGCATAACTCTGCCTGCAATATTTGCAGAACTATTTGCCCCTTAAATTTGAAACTTAGAAAATTTTGGTTAAAGGTCTTCAAAGATATTTACTTGAAACTTTACACATGTACTTAGGGTCATAATTTGAGGGTCATAATTGTATGTCACTGACCAAGTTCCATAACTCTATCTTGCATTAAGGCTGATTCATATCCCCTTTTCTACTTAGTCTCTTGGTTAATGTTTACATGCAAGTTTTACATATCTCAATAACTATTAAAGATATTTATTTAAAACTTCACATATGCATTTAGGGTCATAATTGTAGGTCACTGACAAAGATCCATAATTCTATCTTGCATTTAGGCTGATTTTTCTCCCCTTTTTCAACATTATCTTCCGAATAGTCAAGCCAATACTGTATAATTAGACTGTCTCTAAGGCCTATAACATGAATTTATAAAAAAAAATTAGCCCTTTTGTGAACTTAGAAAATTTAACATTATCAAAGCTCTAAATTTTACGTTATCAAGGCTCTTTTACTATCAAGCACTTAGAATAGTCGAGCGTGCTGTCCTACCGACAGCTCTTGTTGAATTACCTTTGCGATGTCGTGTTACTCATTCAAATGGAATAAAATTGAACTACTTTATATAGCCAAAAAAGCTCCATCCCTTATATGCTTACACGAGATGCATTGCTCGTATAGGTCACTGTTCTACAATGCAGAATCAGGTCATTGTGTCTTTAAGGTCAAGTTATGATTTCTCATAAGTGTGTGTGTGCGTGTATGTACATTTCATAGGATGAGAAAAATTTGTAGCCTGATCCGGGGCCTCTGAATACACCAATTCGCGGTTACATCGATTGAGCGTAAAAAGTCAAAGACATACGCTCCGCACTTTATTGAAATTCCTACTCGTATTTTTTTGTTTGTACGGAAACACTTTTGTATTTAAGGCTTAATGAGGATCCATCCGACCTTACAAATACTGGGACCGCGGACATGCCAACAACCATGTCCGTAAAGGTTAAAATCTGTCAAAAGGTGATCTATATTTTTTTAATTAAGTAAGTCACTGTGTATGTTACTCCATTTTGTGATGTTTACTATTTTGATGCACCATTGTATGCATCATAGAAAAAGAAAGGTGTTGCTGCCAAAATAAATGATCACACTTTCGGAAGGGCTTGACTTGCTGAAAAGGTTTTGCAAGTTACATGCAAAAATATCTGAGCTCTGTAGTTTTTGACCAATTTTAAAGTTTCTTTCCGTTACAAGTCTATGAAACAAAAGTGACCCAAGGCAGGCGCATATTTTATTCTTGATATAACTTGATACAAGTACAGTAGGCAATGCTACATGCCTAATATCTAATTTATATAAGTCCTGCAACAAGTACTCTACCAGGTGATGATACAATGTAAATGTCAAAAAATGTTATGTATTTTGAAGGAGTATATTTCGAGTTATTATCGAAGTAGGCTGAGAGTTCATCAGGTTCTAAAATTGTCTCGTGCTTTTGGGGTTTTCAAACGGTTATAAAATGCTACATGAAACATATAATTTATCCATTTTTAATTTCAAATTACAGTTGCTTCTGTTTCGGTTGGGTTTAACGTCGCACCCACACAGTTTATAGGTTGTGTGGTGACGTCCAAGCTCTACTTGCGGAAGAACACCAAAGAAGAATGCCGTTCTGTGCCTTATTTCAGGCACGAATGGACGCCTGTGTAGAACCACCGGCGTTTCGTAAGCTTACCGAGCAGCTTCTTTATATGAAAAATTCATAAGCCCCAAGCGGTGAGTAGAAATTGATTTGAAGTCAACGATCTGAACTACTGCAGTTTCTTCAACTTCTTATTACATATTGATATAGTTATATTTCTTTTTACACAAGAAAAGTCCTGAATTTACATTTTTCATGCATAATGAGTAACAAATAAGCCCACTGGGCTAAGATTCAATGTGTCCAAATTCCGAACAAACAAAAAAAAAAGTTTTTATTTTTGCATATCATATGAAGGAAATTTCATCATACGAACTATGATGGAAGTTCTGAGGGATTGTAATATTATTTATGTGTCTGTTTCAACTTTGAATCGCTTCGTTTGTTTGTGTTTTTTGCGAAATATAACAAAAAAAGTTAAATATAACCAGCTTTAAGCTTAAATACATGTAGTACTATCTTTTAAAGGAGACTATTTCTTGTTCACATAGTTTTTATGTCACAAATCTTTCCTTTCAACTTTGCATAGCCTTCAGTGAAAGCTTTTAATTTCTAGTTCATAAAGGTTAAGTTGAGTATAAGGCAGTACCAACGTATTGCTTTTGACAATAATCTTGATCATACGTGACACAAACACCTCCTAAAATAACAAACACACATATATGTAAGCTAATAGATGTGAATTTCCACTTGCACAATAATTGAGACGACCATCTGTAAGGGGGACATGCAGCTGTACAACAATTTTAATAAATCTCATTAATTAGTGCCACTATGAAATAATGCAATGCAGCAAATTGTGCATACACTTCAAATTATGACGATCATTTCCTCCCCTACTTGATATTAGAAAGATGCTCATAACATTCCATGTCACTATATGCTAACCATGTAAAAATATACTTGAACTAAACATGTTTCAAACCATATCTAGAGTGTTTATGGGTGAATAATGAAATAGGCCTAGTGTTAGACACTAGACTTGTTCGGTACGTTTTGGAGCTTCAAGCTGGAGACATGTTTCTGTATTTTCATTTTGTATTGTAAATGTTATTTAGACACAACAAACTTGTTGAACACCATTACCAACCAGTTTGTTTGTTTGATTTTACGCATTTTCCCAACATTATTTCAGTCATATAGGTGGGTAGTTTCATAACCATCGTTCCTGGAGAGTTACACCAGTACTAGACTACCTTCCTTCGTGCTAAACTACCAAAGCATCTCCCGGGTATCGAACCCACGCCAGAGAGGTAACTTGATTAGAAGTCATCGACTCGAACACGGAGGCGGTAACATTATCAACCAGAAGACCTTATCAGTTTGTTTTGTAGTCATAATGTCAAAACATTCAGCAATAGAAAAAAAACTGCATGCAGTATGATTTTAACATTTTTTTTACATTTTATACTCGTATATATTTCGATACTCTCATAATTATGCTGATCGGAGAGAGATAATAAAAAAAACGTTTTCTGCCCACCGTAATCTATATCTTGATTAAATAATAATGAAACTTGGCATGGATGTTTATATGAATATGGAAATAACGTTTATAAAATGTTGCAAATTATAATGAATAGCCTACATAATTTAAGAAAGTCTTTTTTAACAAATATTTCCATCAAACATATTTTTTACTTAATGGTATTGTAATGATATAACAGCAAGAAAATGATGCTCCTATAAAACATTTATAATTTAGTTATTGCATCTTTAATTTTTATCATTACTGATGGGTTAGAGTTTGATATATCTTGTCATGGATGTGTATTTCAATAATAAGATTCATATTAAATGCCATCTAAGTGCAGAGTGTTTAATTGAGTTATGGCCTTCTGTAAATAGTCATTCTTAAAGAATATTTTATCAAGAAATATTGAACTGTTGGTATTAATTAAATCAAAACTGATATGAGTGAATAAATAGATATGGGCATGGTGAATATAAAGAAGACCATGTGTTATTTTAGAATGGACCGTTTCTAAAGCAAAATTTTTGTTGAGAGCTAAATCTTATAGAGTAACATCCCGTTTATAGCATCTACCACTGCTGAATGACGCACATATCTCTTTCAAAATGTATGTGTTACTGCATGTAATTGTAATGTTTTCTATTTTAGAATCTTAAAAAAATGGATTCCTGAAAATCCTCGTTAGATCTTTTAATTTATATGTGTGTACCTGAAAATTAGCATTGCCAAATTAATCAACATTTAATAGGTGTACATGTTAATGCCTCATCAAATTTGATACCAAGTAATTTGAGTATTATTTTGTATGCCTCATTCCAATTGAATAATAGAATTTTCATTCTTAGTAACATATATAAGATGTCAGAACAAATGTCATTATATACATGTATATAATTTGAATGTAATATCTTAAACGGATGTAATTTATTACAAGAACTATATTGTATGACTCTACTCATTTTTGTGGACCCTGTGTCATTTTACAAGTTATTATATCAACTTCAAAGCAAGTGATTGTATCATATGGTGAGTATACCAATTCGACACATTTGCTTGTAAACTATTATTGCACACTTGTGACGTGACAGTATAACTTTATTTAAGTGGGATTTATACACTCTTGCACCGCTTCTATTCAAGCACATTAGCCTGTGTCAGTCGAGGTAGTAAAATTAAAGAGATCAGAGGATAAACTTTGACATGGATATAGTTATGGATATACTTATGTGCTTTCTTTTGCTGCCGATCGTTGGTATAATAATTCACTTACAATATTTTAAATGTTATACTAAACAATTTAATTAAGAAATTAAATGCACAAGTTTTTAAGATTAAATGAATGCATTTTACTGCAGAAACGAATCTGATGTTTATGAGATTCACATCCATAATTAATGCTTGCAGAAGATTTTCTGAACTTGCACAGACGAGGTAGTCTTAATAAGTAGCATACTTTATATAAGCGGAACTTGTAAGGTTTTTATTGTCGTTGAAATTTTATCTTTTTGCCTTTTTGTAACGCATTTTACAGTGATATATGTATAACATTACAACATCATTATATAGTGGAAGGAAAAGAAATCTTAACTAGATTAAGGTCTGTAAATTAATTAAGATAAGGTTGTTTGCCAGTTATAATAAATATGTTTTCATCGTTATGGCAATTGGTACATGAAGGAAAAGTACCTGAATGACAGAAGGTCGATAATAATTATTATAACTGAAAAGCATGGGCAATTTTAGCAAGTATTTTAAATATGGGTTTCACAGTTCAGCTAAGGAACTAAGCTTTACTTGGTTGACCAGTCCAGCTTTAACGTGTGCACAATGCCCGTTTGTTTAGTACACCGTAAAGATATTTACTCATAACTGTTTCAGTAAGGTCTTATGGCAAAAAGATGTTACATTTTATGATTCATAACGTATCTTCATTTTCAATTAAATCGTTATTGTAATTATGTGCTTTTTTAAAAAACTTTGTTGGCTGTAGTTCGGCCTTAGGCTGCTTGTATTCACTCTGACTTCCGGTAGCTGAACGGACTATTTTCCATCCTTTTCCCGGTAATTGCCTGACAGGTACCAACGATTGATTCACGTCAGCTTTTGTAAACATAATTCTTTTTCAAAAGTTCACTTTTGAACTTTTGTTTTGCAGTGAAGCAAAGCACTTCAGTTTAAATTTCAGTAAGCGGTGACAAAATAGAAACTGATCATGAAGTGAATGTGACATTTGTTGAAGGAAGCACTGCCATCTTACAATGTAAGACTGTAAGCAGAGAAGGTGGTCGGGTAAGTAATTATCATTAACTAATCATTTTAAACGTTAATTTTAGGTACAGGCAGTGATAATGATCATCATCTACGATTTGGGTAAAAAGTCAAAAGAAACATATTGTTTTCTATAGTCAGTCATTGAAAAAAAAACGTCCATAGAGAGCAATAAAAACAATAAAAAACAACAACAAAAATGAAATAAAACGCAAAATGGTAACTTAATTCTGCTTTTGTGTCTGTCCATTTAAGATAATGCATATAGTGTTATATCGCTCATTGTCCCTGGCATAGCTTCAGCGGTATTCAGTCCTCGATGTTAAAGCAATTTACCATGGTCATTTTTTACAACATCAATTATAATTTAGATGCACAAGCAAATCTTAATATGTGAAAGGTGCCATTTCTTGAATTCGTAAAACTTTTTACCAGAATTATAGGAGAGGACATGTTCTTTTTTGTTCTTCCTTTTGTACAGACCTCCCACAATGAGAAGTGACAGATTTCCAAATTATCACCTGAAAATGTTTGTAATGAATGAATGAATGAAATTCCATTAACATTGTAGTGAAGTGGAGTAACGAAGACGTTGAAAAACTCTTCGGGAGCCCGAATCTAAAACACTAATAAATTTTAAAAAAATGGAAAATTTCCATCCTTATTTCTGGTGAAGAATATAAATTTACATAGTAAGAACATGCTAAGGGTGCTAAGCTATTCCATTTTTCTAGTGCTCCACGACAGGACATTTTGTCTACCCCTTATTTAAACACTCTCCTCAATAGGCCAATACCAACAATTGAAACATGTATACTTATTCTATTATAAATATTGTTTAAATTCTGCATGGGATCCATTCAGAGGGAAATGTCTCGAGATTCATATACAAAAATGTAATATAGATATAAGTGTTTTATTGCTTTGAAAAATATATAATTTATTTTTTTAATTTTGTACACTTCTGCATGTTGAGACCTTTAATTTGGAGATCTTTTTGTAATTTTTGTAGATAACTTTCAATTCTTCAGTTTACAGATATCTTTGGAAGTGAAACGATTTTAAACATTTTTTTTATTTTGATGTATGTGTATTTTACTCAAAATCCATAATTTTTATATTAGTCACAGGTGATCTGGATCAATCCTCAAAACGTGGCTTTGTCAGCAAACAATTTAATAGCTATAAAAGATGACCGGATGAGCATTAAGAATAGCGGTTCGATGTGGAATTTACATATACGGAATGTAAAATACACCGACAGAGGGCGTTATACATGTCATCATCAGACGAATCGATATACAGACAAAAAGTACGTCAACGTTGATATTCTGTATAAAGGTATTTCAAGATTTTTTTAAACAGATATCTATAAATAAAGTAACATTTACAAATACACTTTTGGAAATAAATATTTTACAAAAGGTTTCACCCACAAATTGTATCATTAGCAACGGGTCTACCCTGAAAAGAAAGAATAGCAATGCTATTTTTTTGTAAAAATAAAATATATAGATCTACATGTATACTGCATGCTTGCAATTATGTACTGCGCATACAAATTATGTACTGTGCATCAAATTCAAGGTAACTTCTTTCTAGTCCGTTCTATTAATATCTTATTTGAATAGAAATGTAGAACATTCGTAAAAAATCATATACTTATAATGAATGGTTAATTGAGAGATGATTCGTGTTATAGTACTGTGCAACTTTCACTTAATCACTTCATCTTTTCATTATTTACCACGATATTTCTCTTATACAGTTGTATAATTGGAAGTAAAGTAATGTTATAGTTATAAACTATTGACAAAGTTTGCGCAAGCCTGCCCGACGCAAAATTTGAATTTTAGCAGAACTACAGTGCGTAAAACTTTACAATTATCAAATGTAAGTTTAATATGTGTTTGTTTTATATTTTTACATATATAGGTCTATATATTGTACATATACATTTAATTTGACTTGAGCAAATGTGTTTAGAGGTACAATTTAGTAGTAAGCTGCCCAGCATACGTACATCCCTAACACAGAAATGTGAAAATAAAGCAGGATTTTAAAAGAAGTAACCTTGAATGGTGCAAATCTATGGATGTCACATGTGCTAAAAGTATAATTTAGGATTAAAAGAAACCATCATGTTAGAATCTAAAAAGCACATACAAAACATAACTTATGTAACATTATTATGCATCCCTCTGCAAAAGATCTTTTTATAAACCATACCACTAAGTCTAAACAAGCCTGCCCCTGGCGGTCATTTTTGTAATGTCTACTTAAATCGTCAATAATATAAATGAAAATACTTATTCTCTGTTTAACTGACAACACAAACGGATCTCAATATACTTAGATACTATTTACGAGATTAAGTACTCACCCTGTATATCCAGTAACTCAGGAATGTGAAAAATAACGCTGGAATTGTGCAAAAGTTACGTGAAATCTGTGCAAAGCTGTGTTTCCAGAAATATGTTTATATTTTAAGATCATTCGTGAGAATGACCTCCTGACAACCGTTTTGAAGGCGACTTTTTGTGTTTCGTCGATATCAATAAGTACCGTAATAACTCAGTTGTTTTGATGTTCGATATATCTTAGACATTTGCCAAACTACTAATGACATGTAATACTTAATTACAGGATGTAGATAAAGAAATATGATTCTGCTTCGGCCCATCATTTACAAAATCGGCGTTACCTAAAAATTATCTAAGTCATATTTTATCTGCAAATTCAAGAATAATATGACTCAATCAGGTTTGCAATCGTATCATAAAATGAGCCGCGTCACGACAAAACCAACATAGTGCGTTTGCAACCAACATGGATCCAGACCAGCATGGATCCGGACCAGCCTGCGCATCCGCGCAGTCTGATCAGGATCCATGCTGTTCGATATCAGTTTCTTCACTTGTTATAGGGTCTGTAAGCGAACAGCATGGATCCTGATCAGACTGCGCGGATGCGCAGGCTGGTCTGGATCCATGCTGGTCGCAAACCCATTATGTTGGTTTTGTCGTGACGCGGCTCATTAATAATGTATTATAATACTGAACGTTTGAAACGTCGCTTTTCATTGGATAATCGTGACGTTTATATAGTTTTATATACACGGCTATTGTCGACTCATGAAGAAATTTTACTTGTTTCTCTAAAAAATGATGCTTGCTGTATTATAAATTCGTTATAAATATTGTTGACAGGTTATATGGCCGTATATAAACGGCTATTTCCAATAAAACCCTCGCCTGGCGGCTCGGGTTATATTTACAAATAGCCGTTTATATAGGGCCATATAAGCTGTCACAATTTTTATAACTAATAATATAAACGTTATTGTATTGATAGGTATTCGACTAAAAACAAATTCGCCTTCATTACACTAGGCAGGTCATCTTCTCACGAACATTTTCTTGAAAAATATTTTAATGATGTTTAAAATATAATATCTCAGCAACCGCATGCGCTCATTTATGTCTTTCAGTTTGATTTATTTTCATTAACTAACCGTGGTGCTCGTTTCGTCCACATAATTGCACAATTCTGTGTTACCTTGTACAATTTCTGCGTTATTTACAGACATTTCTACGTTTCTGAATATACACGATGGAACTGGCATACACTTTCCTTGAAAACTATAGTAATGTGCAGTTTTAATTAATCTAAATGCAGCGACTTTCTCCACCTTTTATAAAAGAAGGTTTTATATAATTATACATGTCTTGTGTTTTTTAAAGACCTCTGGATAAAATGAAAACTATTTGTTATCCTTTCAATTATAGACTCCGTGACTACATTGCCAACGTCTGCTGTAAGTTGTTTTGCATATTAATAAGGACTAAAAACAAGAATGAACAAAAGGTTCTTCTTATGCGATTATCTGCATGTACGTTTAATACGCACGTAATTTCTTTTGCCTGCCCGGCTGCCCAGTATTCTAGTAATATATAATATCAACCTCTATCAATAAAGCTATCAATAAAGCTGAAAATTTACCATTAACTCTTTTCAGTGTCAATGAGACTAAAATTCAACACACGGTCATCAAGAATAAATACTTTGCTGAACCCTTAATATGTACTTAATTATAAACGTTTTTAAATATTACATTTTACATATTTACATTACATTGTTATGATATTGTTTAATTTTTTATCGACACATGCGATGAGATCTAATTCATGTTTGGATGATATTTATACTTTGTAATGTTATAAAGGTGCCGATTTTAAGTATTACATATGAAATGATTTGATAGATATCTGATGTGCTCATTTGAATCCATTCAAATGATTATATGATTTATTTTACATGTTTTGATTAATATGATATTTTTTCCAGGAAACAGTGGCTCCAGTGCAGACAAACGATTCATTATCCAGGTATAATCATTTTATGCATATTTTAAATATTAGCATGGAAGGTGAACAAACAATACTTGGCTTAATCAGCTCTAGATTGTACTCACACTTAACAAATAAAGTTTCTGAGAATTTTCTGTAAATTTTTAGATTAAAATGAATGTACCTTGAGACTATGCAACATAATTAAGATTATAATTTGAATAAAGGTATACTATTTAAGGTTTGTATTGTATATTTTAAAATTCAAGTAAAGAGATGTTGCAAGAATCGAGATTAGAATATTACAGAGAACAAGTCTTGACTGATCGTAAATGGAGACATCTCATGGATACAGAGAAATCATTCTACGAGGCAATGATGGCGTTCTTGCAGCAGAAAGAGAAGACAGACAAAGAAAAATTATAGATTATATGTACAATATTTATACATGCGTTCTATAACGATATGCTCCATGCTAGTTATGAGCTATGTCATTAACATATATATAATACATATACAAAATAGTCTTTTTATAATGAATAAACGGTTCCTTATTCTTTTAAATTAAAAGCAATAAAATACACTACGTACGTTGTTCTGTATATCTCAAGAAAATACTTAATTACTAATTAAATCGAAAGCTGCTTACTTGTGGCTTGTATGTTTGATGTTACCGTTTTAATGTCAATCTTAGTATCTGTAATAATGTGAAATATTTCAGACTTTTAAAATACGTGTTTATTGTATTTAGTTTTGTAAAATTTTTCATTTTTAAAAGTGTTTATTTGTTATTTGTCAGCGTGACCGATTGTAAACATGACCTTGTTGTGTGGAATAAACATGGTGATGTTATACGGTTATTTCCTGCAGCAAGGTCATCGACCTACAACTAACATTTTATGATCTTGAACTACACTGAACCTTAATTAATCAAGATGACATCTATGAGATTGCTGTAAGTTGTTTCCGACTTACAACGACAATCGATAGATTTTAACATTCATACCAACTTACACACGTTAATTAGTTGTATAATTTCTGTTCTTTCATCATTGCTCACGTTTTCAATATTTTCTCTTTTAGTGTTATTCTATTATTGTAGATCTTATTCAATACAATACAATACAATACAATACAGTTTATTTGCTTTAAACATTACAACAACGTTTCTAGCATAATAATAATATTCAGATAAAACCTGTCTTTTCAATTGGAATCTTATGTAAGATATATGTTAAGTTTGATGTTTGATCACTATGTCCAGGTCACTCGACAGTACCTTGCTATCATTCTATGTCAACTATATCAGTTTCTTTTTGTTAAGTACAACCATATAGGAGTGAAAAATGTGGTGTACGTATACACGCATGAGGGTATTACAAAGTATTTATAGATTCCAAAAATCATTTTTATATAAACCCAGTTCTTGGGGTCATGGAAGGAAGAATACCTACTAGTAACTGCTGCTGTTCATAACAATCATAATTAAACAAATCGAGGGTTCAAAGGTAAAAGGTAATAACTGCCATTTTCAAGATTTCGAGAAAAACGCAAAAAACATATTTTTTAATACAACTTTATTTTCCGTTATATTGTTATAACAATTTTGATTCTCCCATATTTGTTGACTACATTAGATCATATTTTGTTTAGTTTACATTGCTTGGTGCTGATAAAACACTGTAATTATAGTTTGTTTTAAAGTTGTAAGATCAAAATAATATCATTTTACAGAAGTAAAAGGTAATAAATGTACTTAGATCCTGTCAAGACTACAAGTTTGAGCGGTAAAAGGTAATAACTGCACTTACGACCTTTTACTTCTGAAGGTTTAGCAATAAAAGTTAGATATAAACTGTGGTAAAAGGTTATAAGTGCAGTTATAGCCTTGTTCCTCTGAAAAATTTAGATGTTGCAGTAATTGTTACTGTTGCAAATTTATCAATTATGTCCTTACTTTGAAGAACCTTACGTAATGTAATTAACACAATGCACATTAATACTCGTACACAAAATTAACACTTTTCATTCATAGAAATATGAAATATGTACCTGCTCAATATTTTGATTCTACAGAAATAAATTAATAACTAAAAAGTTTACGAAAATACGCACTAAAATCTAAGTTTACAAATTTCATTTATTTTGAATGTTCTCTGGTATATAATCGAACTGAAGTCAAACAGACCCCAGACATCAGCAATTAAGGATATTAGTGACCCATATCATAGTTAAGTAAATAAAGACTACTGTTTCATGTCACAAAATGTGAATGTTTGTCATTAATTATTCTCTGACCTCCACTCATCTTCTTCACTCTCACTAACAGAAGGCACTTAAAGTTTGTCTTTTATAGATTTGCTGCATGGCAATGACTCATAGTATGATTCGCACTCCTTCGGAATTGTTCCAGAGGCAACAAGTGACATCAAATCAGCTTTTGCAGCAGATATTGGAAGCTTCTCTGTATAAGCCTTTCGTGGAGCCTTAAGAGACTTTTCTTTGCTTCTGTTCTTCTTCTGCATTAACCTATCTGCATTGAACTCACTTACCACAAAACCATAGCTCACAACAATACTGTATTTTTGTCTTTATCTATCTCCAGTCATTACATCATTTGATAACGTCACATGTTTAGCAGCAAAACAAAACTACATATAGATGTTATTTTATCGGGGAAAAAGAAGAATGAAACCATTTAATTATTCTAAAAACATTACTAAAGCAGGATAAAACAAATACATGGTTGATGTCGGGCTGGAGAAGGTTTATCCGGTTCACTGCGAAAGTGAATCTTGGCTTGCTAAAGCTCGCCAAGATACACTTTCTAGCTCACCGGATAAGCCTTTTCCATCCCTAAATCAACCATGTATTTTATATATACTCAGCCAATTAACACGTTCACCATCAACATCGATTTTCATTGAGCCAAAGTTTTGTTCTTTGTACAACTTGTAATCTAGTATGTCATTGTATTTTATTAGAACGACAATATATGGTTGCTTCCGGCGTGCTTATGATATAACTGTTTCCCACTGCGATGGAACATGAACTATTGTAAGGCTTTTTGCATATCTTGGACACAGTGAACTAAGCAACTTGCAACAAACTGATTGCAATTCTGTCATCCACATGCATTACTATATAATGTCACTTCTTCAATACCAGATGTCTTACTTGCAATAGAGGTTACATACAAGTACACAAAAGTTCCTACTTCGCACGAACCTGGTTTCCCCATGTGTCTCATCCAACAGATAACAAGTCCCATTACCATTTCCCAGTTCATAGAATGACAAATTGCAACAACACAGTTTTCTTTTGTAACGAAGATCACCAATTAAACTGAGTGGTGTTTTCAAAATAACCTGGATATGAAATGCCGACACAGAAAACTTTGGATCTTTCTTTGTGCGTTTTTTATCGGCTGATTTTTGCATTCTTGCACTGTTTTTTTTTCTTTTTGGTCACTTGGTGAACTTGATATTTTGCTTTTGTTGCCTCATCTAGTCTATCTTCTATTCTCAAAGTGTTATACAGATTGCAGAGTGGACATTGATCTTTCTTAGGACGGAAGAAAAAAGTTATATTCTGTACTAAAAATGATTCTGTACACAGCCTCTGAAACACACTTTCTATTTTGTCCTTGCATTTTTCTACATACAGTGAGTATATTCGTTTTATATTTAAATCTTGCGTTAGATACTTCCTGTTGGGGTCTTCGTGTGTAGTGTGATTCATTAGTCGGAAAGCTTTCGTTGTGTTTCTTTACAAATGATCTGTGATATTCCGTGGTTTTATTTCCAGGCACAGCTTTCCCTCTCTTGTCATTTCCAACATATAACCCTGCAACTTTGTGCTTAACTGCGTTGGCAACTGTTTTGGAACCGCCATCGATAGTTTTTAGTAAAAAATTCTGGAAACAAAGTGATCCCTCGGAAGCATTAATCACAACAAAATTACATAATAATTGCAGACTCGGTTTGATTGAGTCTGTACATGAGAGGTAATGAATAAGTGCAACATCCCTCACGCCCTCTTTTCTACCTGTGTGAAAAACGAATTCGAAATAGGTCTTTGTTTTGTTCTCTGTTTAGATACATTCTCTGGTTCTTTATTGGCAACATGGAAACAAATGAATTGCCTCTGACTTATGTAATCACCCATTGACCAGTATGTACTGAATATTTTCTGTCTTTCATATTCAATTATATTCTCGCTGCATTTAATTCTAAAAGATAAATTTCGTGGGAAAAGAGATAACAGATAGTGCCTTGTGAACTGTATGAATGCAGCATTCTGTCAGGGGAAAAAGGTGATAAAATCAGTTATAACCTTTTTCCACTACAGATTCTTCACAACATGTGGAACAACAAGTAAACAACAGGTAATAAGTACACTTAGAACCTTTTACCCCTAAATAATTTGTAGAAAAGAAGTTATTACAAAATACTTTTTAATTTTTTGCCCTTATAAGGATTGAATATTTATATAATATTTTCGTCAGACATAAAGGACAATAAGTACATTATAAAAAACATAAAAAGTCAATTTCGGCAAAAGTGGCAGTTATAACCTTTTACCTTTGAACCCTCGAAATTGCCTTTTAAGGGCTTAGATTAATGTATCGTTTTAGAACTATGTATCATTTGTGGATAGCGTCCTTTTTTAAGAAAAAGCAAAATCCTTAAATTATATTAATATTTTATCTAGGAGCATTCTATCTCGTTAACCATATTATTGTATAGAATGTTTGGTCTTATTGTAATATTTACATTATTCTGCCTCTCCAAAGCGAGATAACGTGTGAAACCACACTTCTTTTATATCTTGTAAATTTTATAAAAACGCTAAACCAGATCAGCTCGAAGTCTTTGAACTTCTTTCTCATTTTTACTAAAGAAATATTTCGCGTGAATGCACATGCCATCTCTCGACCCCTTGTCACGTATTGTTTCTGTTTCTGCTTATATATATATATATTTATAGATGCTTTGTCAAAGGCCCCTCTTAGGGCTTTAGTATTAATAAAAGTTCATATTCTTCTTTGTTACTTTCTTACTCTATTTTATATATCTTTATTTAGTTTAAAGGGTTTAAGTTATATCTTAGGAAATAGTTTTACAATGTAACATATTTAACATACATGGATATTGTATATAAACAGAATGAAATGCTCCAGAACAAAATATTATGTTGCAGCCATTTAGCAATGATTTTGTGCATGCGTCATTTGCTCAAAAGGAGATTTTACTAACACATTTCTTTCATACACGCATTATATATTATTCTTTTTCAAAATTGAATCAATCATTTTTGCAGCACATATACGAGTATAGATTTATTCACTTTAAAGTGACCAAGGTAATTCAAAACACAACAAAAACAAAACAAGTTTGAAATGTTTTATAAAGAAAACAGTATTATTAGCTTGTAAAGTTCCACTTACTTGTGTTTTATGTACAGTTTAATTGTTATTAATTATAGAGCGCGTCGGGTCATAAATTTATCGCAATGCATATTGCGTTCCAAGGACAAAACAATTCATATTGCAGATTGCGTACTTTGACTTTGTTCTCACTTTGACAACCGGAACATTGACGCTTTTAAATCTATTTTTGCTGTGTAAAGTTGATATAGTGTGTGCGTAGCTGTAATTCATTACAAAAACAAGAAGTATCTTGATATACTCGGCCTAAGTAAAACTGTTTAACTTGCATATGTTAATTCTTAGTTTTCAATGCAAAGTCATATAGAAATGGTACCATAGCTTGCATGAAAATAACATAATAATAATCTCTTGTAGAGTTATTAATCTGGAAAATGGAACATTTTAAGATGCATATGTTTGTAAACGAACCTGTCGTGTTTCGGATTAGTTGAAGCTACCAATTTCTAACACCAACAATGCAACGCCAGTCGCGGAGACAATATTTTAGAATACTGTGATATCAAATATGCAAAGAAAGGTATACAGAATTCTTAAAACATGTATATCGAGAGTGTGAACATCATCAGTGACTGCCAGAACAGAGTTCTAATTTCAAAAACTTGTACACACATAGGTACATCGTCCTAGCTTACAAGGCAGTTTGAAATATAAATTCTTGCGTCACATTAATTTTACAATGTACACA